AAAGCTCACATATTGAGATGACAGACATGACTGATATATCTTTTTTTTAGATCGAGGAATTCAAACCAGAACATAATGCCGGCGGCACTTTCACGGAGGAGTCATCCTTCGTCAGCTTATTCCCAAAATACAGAGAAGCATATCTAAAGGAAACATGGCCTATGATAACCAAAGCACTGGAGAAGCATGGCATCGCGTGTACCCTGGATTTAGTTGAAGGAAGCATGACCGTGAAGACTACTCGTAAAACCTTCGACCCAGCTTCAATTTTGAATGCGCGGGATTTGATTAAGCTCCTTGCGCGAAGTGTGCCGGCACCACAAGTATGCGCACGCTGTTCCCCCTTGGATCAAGGAAGCTTTGATTTGCCATCCTTACAACAACTGACGGTTTTCGATTCAAAATATTTAGGCTTTAAAAATCCTCCAAGACGATGTAGCTTGCGATATCATTAAAATCCGCAATCTAGTACGCAACAAAGAGCGGTTTGTAAAACGACGACAACGTATCCTCGGACCCTCCGGTTCCACCCTAAAAGCTCTCGAACTGCTGACAAACACCTACATCCTCGTCCAAGGAAATACAGTGTCCGCCATGGGGCCATACAAAGGCCTTAAGGAAATAAGAAGGGTGGTGGAGGACTGCATGAACAACATTCATCCTATCTACCATATCAAGGAGATGATGATCAAAAAGGAGCTCGCAAAAGATCCTAAACTTGCAAATGAAAGCTGGGATCGCTTTTTGCCTCATTTCAAGAAGCGAACACTAAGCAAGAGGAGGAAGCCGTTCAAGGTCACAGATAAAAGCAAGAAGGTGTACACACCGTTCCCGCCCCCCCAGGAGAAGAGCAAAGTTGATCTGCAGATTGAGAGCGGTGAATACTTCCTGAGTAAGCAGGCACGAGAGCGTGCTAAAAAGGAGGAAATTATAGAGCGCCAAAAGGAGAAGAGAGAAGAGAAGAAGAAGGAACTGGAGAAAGACTTTGTTCCGCCCAAGGAGGTGTATGATGTTGAGAGGAAGAAAAAGAAACGAAAACGCCATGATGGAGAAGTAAGAGAAGGGAAGGGAGATAAATCGTCCGAAAAGAAGCAGAAGAAGTCGAAGAAGATAAAGCAGATTGAGGGAGAGGAATAATCATCTTCTAGTTTTGTTTGCTTGTTTATGTTCAATCATATCTGGCGCAACGGTTGGAACCCCCTCTTCTACTATCATCTCCTTCCGCACATTACTAAATATTGTAAGCATCCTCATGAGCTTCTTGTTTGTTACTTCATTTCCTCTAGTTATCTCTACGAATTATGTAAGGGAAGATACCCATTTAATTTGCCATCTAGATGACATATCTATATTATGCAGATGTCTACTACAGCCTCCCAACTTCGAAATTAAGTGGGGTAACGCTTCGGGACTCCCAGGCTACAGTTCCTCACAATTTCGCCGTGCCCCACTGTATATCACTCCAAGCCAGTGCATCTAGCCTCTGATACCCTCTCGCAGGATTAAGCCAGTACAGCGTATCATGCACGAGTTCCCTTCTTAGATCTTCCTCTTCATCACCTGATCTTTTTTCAGGTGTAGGAACAGTGTTGGGATTCCAGCTTAACTTCTCCATAACTGATTTGATCTGTTTGAAAGTGACACCCGTTACGATGCTGGTCGAATTGGTCATGTTAACGAATTACAGCCTTTGTGCTCCCTCCGTACGGCAATAACGAGAGAACGAGCGACTTACCTATTGGCCATTCGTACAAGACGCGGCAGGGCGTAGTATGGGAGCCCGCTTTTGACAAGAGCAGAGCGGAGGGAGTTGATAAACTCAGTTTCTGACGCTTCAGTGCGTAAGTATAAGGCAATGACAGCTCCTCCAACTTTGCCCTCATAACTATGAATCTCAAAAATTAGCATTAGCTTTTCAACCCACCAAAGCTCAATGAATGAAAGAAAGCCGTCCATGTTCGTACCTATCAAGCTTTACTCCAAACACTGCAGCGTCCATCACATTAGGCATCATGCAGATTTGGCTCCGTACCTCCCCAGTACTCACATTCTGGCCTTGCCACCGAAACCTATCATCAATTCTCTCTTGAAATTTCACCCACCCAGATTCCTCACGCATTACCAGATCACCCATCCGCTGAAACAAGTCTCCTTTTCGGAACACATCTCTCAACAGTTTCTCTTCAGTCGCCGCATCATCATTCAGATAGGTCGTTAGTAGGCTCAAATCCGAGACGCGTCCAATCACCTCTCCTTCTTCACCCGGGTCTGCCTTGATACAAAACCCCGTATTCGGATCCCGAACAGGCATCTGCATCTCCGGATCATATTTGACAACAAAAGTCACATCCTCGAAGTATCGCTTGAGAGGCCCTGCAAAACCTACTTTGCCTTTGCCAGCTGCTGAACGACCATCATTTTCAAATTTAGCTACAGCTTCGGTTGCACGATAAGCTTCGCGTATCTCCCGGACCCCGAAGCGTTCCTTGAATTTATCCCAAACGTCCTCGCGGAGGCCGTTGCCGAAGGCATGTGTGACGGAGTGAGATCGATCGTACGGAGAGGGAGGGGCAGCGAGGAGGAAACGGCAGAGCTCGCCCACATAAAGAATGCGGTTTGCTCTGCACTCTTTGACATCTTCCCAGAAAGTCGTCGCAGAGAACTTTCGAGCTAAGCAGAAAGTCCCTGAGGACCCCAGGGTGTAACATAGGCCCGCTAAGAAGGCGGTGCTGTGGAACAGGGGAAGTGAGGAATATGTCCGCAATGGGTGGTATTTCGAAGGGTCCCTCATATCTCCGGTGAAAGGGGTAGAAGTAGCCCACAATATGTCATTTCGAATTACACAAGCTTTCGGTTCTCCCGTTGTTCCTAAACCTCGAGTTAACAATGCAGATTTGTGCAATCAGCTACCATTGCCTATGTCAGGGGTAAGTCTAACCAGATGTGCATATGAGAACAGCCATATCCGTGAGGCTACGTTTGGCCGGCACGAGATTAACATGGCTAGCATTCTGGAGGTCATTTAAACCAATCAATTCGACTTTAGGTGGAATCGGCGTTTCTGCGGATACAGCAAAAGATGATAAAGCAAGGCATATGTGCGGGAGATCAACTTTGGCATGCTGAGACAGATCAGGAGTAGACAGTATGAATCTTGGGTGGGATAAGTCCAGCGCGCAAACAAATGTGTCGTCTATTGGGATATACTCGAATTAACATTCAAAGATACGTCAAAGAGATACCAACGAAGAAATCTGTGTCAATGAATGTACTTCTGTTTTTTGAATACTCACCTCTATGATTTGTATTGATTAGGTCCACCACCACACCTAACTTCGCGAGGGCGAGAATAGCTACGACCATTTCAGGAGAGTTCGTCATGAACACCCCTACCACATCACCGATCCTGATGCCGCGAGCATGCAGCAGCCCTGCGAATTGGTCGACCTCTGATAAAAAACAACAGCTGTTAGATCACCATGCTTTTCAGTTTGTGCTGATGATGGTTCATTTGGGGTTCCATAGCCGCCTTTTTTCGGTGAGAACGACGCAAGGGGAATACAAACAACTTAGAGAGCTTTAACAGGACTCAAGATGTAACCACAGGTTCGGGAAAGTCAACTTGCCCATTTTCAACTGGCCGTATGACATCGTTTTGCCCTCAAACCAAATGGCCTCGTCTTCATCGCTGTTCCCGGACTGTTGGAGGATCGCATACATCGAGTGTGTTCCTTTAGCACAAGCAATTCTCTGTTGTTTCCGGCGCGCGATGTCTCGTTTGTACCGTATGTCTCTAAGATCACAACCGATGGCGAACCTGGCGTTCAGATAGCTGGCAGCCACAGCGAGGGCAGCAAGGGAGGCAATGGAATGAGGGATAACAGCATCCATCGCTCTATTTACCAATAATTGAATATCGAGTTAACAAATTTACTCCTTTACGCCTGCGAGGCCCGGAATTTGAGCCTTGGGTTCGAATGCATGGAAAAAAATTTCCTTCCTTTGTTCAAAAGAAAAAAGAAAGAAGAAGAAAGTAATATATCATTCATGTTGGAAAGCATGCGTTTCGGTGCAAGGTTATTAAGTATGAAGTGTCTCAAGTATTAACCAAGCGAGAGAAACCGAAAGGAGATGCAAACCAGAGAAACCCTCCTGTGGTAGTTCGCTTCCTTGCGAGAGCGTGTCATCGTTGATGGCACAGGATGCGGGTTGACGACGTAGATATGAGTATATCCATGGGTAATGAAAGCAAGACCATCGCAACGCTTGCAGGTCGCGCGGGGCTGCCAGCATCACTACTATGCGCGACTGTAACGAGCTTCCATGGACACGGAAAGTTTCAGACGCAATCCCAAGTTTATTTTGAGCCACCTTGACGTGAGTGGGCTCTTTCTGGTTTCTAGCGAGAGAGCCCCACCGGCAACGGCGTCTCGCGAACAAATAACAAATTGGCGGGGTCCACTGAACCACCCTGCCTCTGGAGCTTTGCATATCCAGCATCTGCTGTTCGGTCCTGGCCTGAAGTGTTGTTGAGGATATCCACAGGTCAAAGCCGAGGTGCTGGTGCGAAAAGCCATGTCCGCCAAAGTGGGGTGGATGGGTAACAAAGTAACTATTGTGTATAATGATCAGAAAGATTGTGATTTCTCCCGTTTGTTTAAAACTGGTATATGATGATATTCATCAATTGACCATTGCCTGCTTTGTTTCGAACAACTTCTACAATGGCGTCTGCAGAGCAGAGGCTCTCTTCGGTTCAAGGCCATCTCCAAGCTGGAGATTCGCGGGCAAGGAAGACGCTTTTGGCAAAGAATCCCGATGACATTGCAAGACCACCGTTAGGATAGTTGACATTTCTCTCTCCCACATCGTTCGGACGCTGACAGGATATGAAATGCGTAGGTTATCACTCTTGCTATTCGGACCCCTCTCACCAAAGCTCGCAAGGGAGCTCTCAAGGATACACACCCTGATGACCTTCTGATTGCCCTGCTAACTGTAAGCTGAGTAAATAAGTTCCTTGATCGACATGAAGCAAAAGTGAGATTAAAAAATGGAGAAATCTAGCTTACCATATCTCTTCTCAGGCTGTTCGTGAGAGATCTAACCTCGACCCATCCCTTGTTGAAGATGTTTGTGTCGGAAATGTGTCTGCTCCTTCTGCCCCATACGCTTCCCGCTCCGCCGTCCTGGTCGCTGGGTATCCCGTAATTACCTCTGTGTCAGTCGCAAAACCGCTTCTGTTCCTCCGGGTTGCTCGCCATCCAGCAGATCGCCAACCAAATTCAAGCTGGAGCAATCGATATCGGCATCGGCGTTGGCGCAGAGAGCATGAGCACAGCACCGGGAAATGACGCCGCAGCCGTCTCAGAAGCCGTGCTCAATCACCCCATTGCTGGGTCATACGTCTGAGAACGTCGCAGGCCAATTCAACATCAGCAGAGAGAAGATGGACGATTTCGCTGCGCGCTCGCACCAACGAGCTGAATTGGCGCAGAAGAGCGGGTGGGTGGTCGACGAGATCGCGCCCATCAGAGTCAAGGTGAAGGATCCCAAGACAGGCCAGGTCAGGGAAGTTGTCGCGGATAGGGATGATGGTATCCGTTACGGAACCACTGCCGAAAGCCTGGCTAAAGTCCGCCCGGCCTTCTCGCAGTGGAAGCCCGGCCGTACGACTGGTGGCAATGCATCGCAAATCACCGGCGGCGCTGCGGCAGTGTTGATGATGAAGCGATCTCGTGCGCTGGAGCTGGAGCAACCCATCATTATCAAATTCTGCGGTGCAACGGTTGCCTGTCTGGAGCCGCGGATCATGGGCATTGGCCCGACACTCGCGATCCCGAAGATGATGAAGAAGCTCAACCTGTAGAAGGAGGATGTAGATGTCTTTGAGATCAATGAGGCTTTCGCCTCGATGGTATGTCAAAATACCCTGGACAAGTTTTACCGGCTATGGACCTCGCCACAAACATATATATTCTTTATTATTTTATTGCATTTTATTCTAACCACTCTACATAGGGAGTCTACTGTGTCCATAAACTCGGTCTTGATATTGAAAAAGTAAACCCTCGCGGTGGTGCGATGTGCGTATAATCCCGTCCTATCCTGCGCACTATTAGACTCTAGCTAAAGATTCATTTGTTAAAATCATCAGTGCCATCGGTCATCCCCTAGGCTGTACTGGCGCTCGTCAAGTAGTGACAGACCTCTCAGAGCTTCGGAGACAGAATAAGCGCCTCGCGGTGACGTCTATGTGTGTTGGAACTGTAAGTGTGCTTGGGCCCCTTCTTCGCCCGTGGACGATTTCCACCCTGGAACTGCCATGAAACGTAAGGAATGGCTGTAACCATGTATTTCATTTCATTTAGGGCATGGGGATGGCTGATGCCTTCGTCTCAGAGCATTGAAAAGGAGTGTGGTAGGCTGTATATATGGCTGGTTGTTTCCTTGTCCGTTAGGATTTACTTGAAGTGTGCGGCATTTTACTTACGTCCTGTATATACATATGAGGAGTACATACATGTCAAGATAAATTCCATTTCAGAGAGTGATTTTATAATACAGAGTTCGAAGTTGAGCCTGGAGTTGAGCCTGACAACAAAACGAAACTGTATACCACATTGTTTAGATTGCATTCGTTAGAGTAATGAAATGTACAGTACATATAGGAAAGCAACAAGAGCCGTGGAGGTTCCTGCAGCCCTAATGCCAAAAGGGGCCAACTTCAAGATACCTATTCTTTTCACTTTTCGCCACTGTTCCTTCACCATTTGCGATCGTTTCGGCAAGTTCGTCCAATTGGGACATTGGCCGTAATTGATCTTTCTCTCAATATCTTTGTTTCAAACATTCCACCGACCTTGGTCGCTAATGTCAGCTACGATCCTAAGATGTGTGAGCCTACAAACCCCGGGCCCATTGCTTTTGTGTATGGGCTTCATGGAGTGCATGGTTACCTCGTCCTAGCAACATATCCGATTGCAATCATTTATGCCACAAACAATATGCCTGATTGACACAGGTAGCACCGCATCCTAAAGGAGACTAAGACTAATCAAGTCGGTGGTTCCATGCATACCAATTATCCACAGATTCGGCGTGTCGATTCCCCGCGACAGAGTTCCAGAATTCAGTGAACCAGTTGGATTAGAGAGCGGGCTTCATATAGACAGGTTGCCCATTGCCAAACTGGAGCAATACTATCCTTAAATATATCGTAGTATGGCTTGATCGAAGCGTCAAGCATGAAAAATGATGAATGGGAAAATATAGGTTCCCAGCGGTTCTGGGTCTGAATCAATCTTCTTTGCAGATCGTGCTCAAAGAATGGGCCAGTTTGAGCAAAACTACGCTTTCAGTAGCAGCGAAATAGTTCAAGCTATTATACACACGCGCAGGCAGTTAATTATCAGTTTCCATCAAGGGAGAGTAGCTAAATCGAGAGTATGTAGCTATGACCTACCTGTCCATCAATATCCTCAGGTGTCGATTGAAATGATCTTCATATCTTTTTAAAGTATCCTCAAGTTTGCCTAGGCGCGTGGCATCATACGCCTTAGTGGCATCGGAACCGGGGATGCTCGGTTTGGAGCTGGGTCCTGACAGATCTGGATCCGCGGAGACAAGACTGCGTGAGAGCGACGACGCTGTCCAGGAAGCGAACATAGTACAGCAGATCATGAGTTTGGAATGGATCTAGACAGATCGTTCATTTAAGTAACCTGATCATAATTGTAATGAAAAGCAGGACGGGGGTGAAGAAGAAATGTTTACCTTGAGCAGTTTCCCCTGAGTTAACATGCACTCTTTCAAACAAGTGTCTAAGAAATCAACGTGGTCTTGCATTAATTCATCAACAGTCCGATTGACCTGCTTTGTCCCATTTATCATAACCTCGGTCCCATCAGCATCATCGCCATTCACCCTGTCCATGAGATTCTGCCAGTTGGGTTCAATTACTTCGGCTGTGCAGAAGTAAAGCAACTGCTGCACGAATATGAGCATTCTAGCGCGTAATGTCCAGGCCCTTCGCTTCCATAGCTCGAGTTTTCGGTCCGATGATCTATGTCGCCAGCTTTGCATTTTCATATGATCTTGCCAGGAGGCTCCGAGTAATGTTTCTAGATGGCGAAGGGAGAGGATGTACCTGAAAATGAGCTGATAACGGAGGACGGTTTTGCGGCTAATAACAAGTGAGAGAGGGAATGGCACCATGTAGTCGAGTTCTAGGGCATCAAACCCGATAATATCTTTTTCTTCCTCTGTAACTTGTGGAGCAGGGGTTTGATATTTTTCAAGCCCGCCATCTGGGTTATCCTGATCAATACCAGATACACTTACCACGCGCATGAGCCATTTAGTTAATCCTATGTAATTCATGCGAACCTTCACATCTTCCTTAAATGGATCTTGGGCAGCAATGCTACCAGGTTGCCGAAGAACGAGGTCAAGCAAAGACTGCAACTTGCCTTCATTGACATTCTTTGCCGGTTTACGGAGCTCCGATGCCCCTAACTCCAAAAAGTAAGAGAAGAAATCAGAACGGTCAAGGAAGAAGTAATGCTTCAAAGAGCGGAATCGGGTCGTCAAAGAATTTTTCGTTAGGAGAAGGTTGAGTAAAGAGGCATTTGCATATGCGTACGCCGAATTTACGTTATCAAGAAATCGTGGATCGTCAAAAGTCAAAGGAACATCTCGAATCTCTTTACTGATATCAACCCCCCCACATTCGCGAACAACATTGAGATACTTGCCAGCAAGCAAAACCTTATCCCTGACTGTGTCCAGCTGGGGGGGAACTTCGCTGTCACGGATGGTATATCGCTTCTCCCAATATTCATCGGTATAATCCTCCTCGAGTTTGTCACGCTTGATGCCTTTCTGCTCTTTGACGAGGAATTCCGCGTGAGGATCGTTGATGGCTCCCTGGTGCAGCCACTCGTTTAGCATGGTCATATATGGACGGCTAGCCTCGCGCAACAGAGTCTGAAGCAATGTTCCCGTCGTTGGGTCGCCAGAGAAAGTCGCAAGTCGCTGAGTTAATACTCCTAAAACATTACCGCCTTTGCAGAGCTTTTTGCTGGACATGCTCCCGGGAGCTAGTTCACCCCCTCCCTCAATTGTCAAGGATATTTTCCACATCATCAAAATCATCAACTGACTCGTCAGATTCCTGGACCAGAAGTGAATTTTTCTTCAGTAGCTCTTGTCCAAGTGCATAGAGCTGAGCCATACTCTGGCTGGTCGGCATGACGTGGAGGTGGAGAACATGTAATGTAAAATTACGATTATTGAGAAGTTGGTTTTCTAACTGGGCGATTAGAATAAGATAGTCCTTTAGCAACTTGCGTATTGCAGCGCAAAGGGCATGGTTGACGGCACCAAATTCCGCTCTGCTTTGAACTTCTACAAAGGCCTCCATGGCGCTGTAGTGGGTTGCCATTTTCAGCATGGAAAGAGTAAGATCCTTCAAGCTAGGTTCAAGGCCTGGTTCTATTTGAAAAGATGGTCCAATTAAGCGATCTGTTTCCTCAGACGGATTATAAGAGTTGACAAAGTGGATATATTCGCCCTCGTATCCCATGAAAACAAATAGTAGGTCCTCAAGAATTGAGGTCTCCTGCGCCTCCATATTTAGTTCCCGGAGCGGTGGTGGGCGTAGTGCCTGCGGAACCAGCGACGAGAGGGGAGGCACAGATACACGGCATGCAAGGGGAGCGGTCGAATGCGGAACTAAATTTGCTTGCGGCTCCCAAGGCGCTGTATCATAGAGACCAAAAAAGGTCATCAGTCTCAATCACATAACAAGACAATTAGTTCACATAGATATTAACTGACCCTCTGGCTGTTCTTTTCTATTTCCTTCTCCCTTCATCCTTGACCTAACAACGGGGTTTGGAACCTCATTTTTACTGGGCTTCTTCGCTTTTGGTTTCTCCCAATCGCTCTTTGGCGCTGATGCTGAACTTGGAGGCTGTTTCTTGGACCTGACTTGGACCCTTTCTCTCGTTGTAACCTGCGTTCTCTCCATGCGCACTTCGCTTGAATTATATTCTCTGCTCGTCCGACTCGCCCCTACCCCTGGCGTACCTTCTCGCGAAGTAGGCATTTTTCCATCCGCCGGCGTGGATTGCCCATATCGCGTAGATTTCCCATTAACGCGAGCAGAAGAAACGCGTGACCGAGACCCATTTGTATGGCTAGCTGATCGTTCATGGAAAGACGTCGAAGGCTTTATGGTTGAGGGAGAAGATGAAGTCATAATTATCGCCTGTCATTGGAGCTACCAATCCTACCGATAGATAAATGAAATGCCGTCTTGTTGTCTCCCCGCTGGTGAGCAGTTTGATATTGGGGAACCCTTTGGAAGTTGACATGTCCCTTTTGGGGCTAGCGTGGGATTGTCCAGGCACTTACGGCTTTGCGTAGCCATTAGCTAAGCCAAAATCGGAGCTCTGTTTGAACAACCAAACGCACCGCAACCGGGATAGACAGGCCCTACAGCTATACAGACACTCTCTTGCTGATACATTGAATTCTGTCTCTTATCTGCTGGTTGCATTCTCTTGTATTTCCTCCCGTTCGAATAACATCTGCTCACTATGTTCATTGCACGGTCTGAGTATGGTAAGCTCTAAGACGCCCTACCGCTTTTATGCTACTGCTCTTCATTTGACTAACACATGACAGACCGTGGTATCAAGTAAGGCTGCCTGATGGATTTCGTTTGAAATTGCTCATGAGAAACGCGATTCTTACTTATATACCTTTATCTACAGTACCTTCTCCCCGGAAGGACGTCTATTCCAAGTCGAATACTCGCTCGAAGCTATAAAGTTGGGATCAACAGCAATCGGAGTACGTTTCGAGTTCTTGGATTTCATTTATATTCGCCGGCTTCACCCTATCTGACATAACCCCGTCCCCTCTCTTAACGGAAAATACACAGGTCGCAACCTCAGAAGGTGTCGTCCTTGGTGTCGAAAAGCGGGTAACATCAACACTCCTCGAGACATCATCTGTGGAGAAGATTGTCGAGATAGACCGGCATATTGGATGCGCAATGTCCGGTTTGCAGGCCGATGCCCGGTCAATGGTTGAACATGCTCGTGTCGAGAGTCAAAATCACGCCTTTAACTATTCAGAACCGTTGAAGGTTGAAAGTTGCACGCAGGCTATATGCGACCTGGCGCTCAGATTCGGCGAGGGTGCTGATGGTGAGGAGAGCGTGATGAGTAGACCGTTTGGTGTTGCGCTGCTGATTGCGGGTTATGATGAGAGTGGGCCACAACTGTACGGCAATTAATTGACTTTTAAGAAGCGATATGTGTACTAACATAACATTTTTGTATGTAGATATCATGCTGAACCATCCGGGACTTTCTATCGATACGATGCCAAAGCCATCGGCTCTGGAAGTGAAGGCGCGCAAGCGGAACTTCAAACTGAATATCACAGTTCCCTTACCTTAGCAGAAGCTGAGACCCTTGTTCTAAAGACATTGAAGCAGGTGATGGAGGAGAAGCTGGATGCTAAAAATGTACAGTTAGCTAGTGTGACTAAGGATATGGGATTCCGAATTTACGGGGAAGAAGAAATGGGACGTGTTGTGTCGACTTTGGGAGGAAATTAACATGAAATTCTATGATGTTTGGCGATTACAACGACAGGTTGCCCTCGATGTTCGAAAATTACAAGACCTCTATTGGTTCCCAGTTAGGCTACCTGAACTAGAGCCGATCAGAAGAGAAACGTAACTTATAGCATAATGGCAGATAATTAGAATTCTATCTGGTCTTATATACAC